TCCTTTGGTGTTCCAAGTCATTTTGCTTTCCCCATTTTGCTCACAGTGTGGGTGCCAGGGCTGTGCCCATGGCCCTGTGCCCATGGTGTGCCCCCAGTGCTCTGCCTGTGGGGCACGGGGCTGTTCCTGCTGGGGCTGTCCCACCCAGTGCCAGCCCTGCCTCTGGGGTGTGTGGGGGCTGCTGTCTGTGTGTCTGTCCCCGTGTCCGTGCCCAGCGCGGGACAGCCAGCAGGGCACTTGAGGTTTGCTGCCAAGGATGACAGCTTCCACCACCAGCATCAGCTGTGCTTTCCAGGCAGCACTGCATGGTGCATGGGGAATGACTGGGGTTTGTTCACAGGGGTGAAGAAGGAATCTTCCACCCTTGCAGATTGCAGTTAGCCTCACACTGAGCTGTTCCTTTCATGGCCAGAGCCTGTTTCTGTGCACAGCAGGGCCAGGGAAGCGAGCAGAGATAGCTGGTCCAGAGGCTCCTCCTGGCACTGCCAGGCTTGATGCCCAAGCCACAAGAAAGGTGTCCATGTGCTGAAGTCCTAAGCCCATTAGCCCAGCAGGTCCAGATGAGGCTGCTGAGGGTAACTTGTGCCATGTCACATTCATGCCAACAGAGTTCTGTGACTCCTCTACCTGGATTCCCATTTTACTCTAATTTAGCAGAGGAAGACAAGACAGAGAGAAGGGATTCAGTATTGCTTAGGTTGCAGTTTAGCAGGATGTTTTGTTCTATGGAGTGCCTGAATCCCTTCAGGAAGCTAAAGAGAAGAAACCTTGATATTTACCAGGAATGATGAGGAGATATTATGCTGCGCTTAATTTAAATCTTTATATGACACAGAAGCACTAAATGTCCAAGTGCACTCTCTGCACATCAGGCATGATGGATGCATTGCACTGCTTCCTTCGGTGGCTGGGTGAATGACTGAGGTGGGAATACTGGGTAAGATTTGGGCTGAAGGCAGGCAAGAAGTATCTTGGCAGATAAACACAAGTGGGACACATAGACACACATGGAGAACCTGGAATGCCACATAATTTTTACATGGTTGCATTCATCTGCTTTGTCTGGTATCATTACTTATGTCTAATGCAGTGGTGCTTCCTTTCTTGGCCAACACATGCTAAAATAATAAAAACTTTGTTGAACAATTGGCTAGAGAATGAGGAAGGTCCCACGTGTAACCAAAAGACAAAAGGCAGTCATCTTTGCAGGGTATTTTTATTCCAATTATTTAAAGTTCCTATACAGCTTTAATTGTCTAGCCAAAATTACATTAAAGCTTCATAGAAGATCTTAGGGCTGCCCCTGTGTAGGATGTTCTGTACTACTCTGTCCTTGGTCATCTTTTTGGGCATTCAAGTTGTTTATTAGCTTCTAATTTGGGCAAAATTTTAGGTTTCTTTTTTTTTTTTTTTAACTACAATTTAATTTTCTTTAACTTTCTGGGAACCTTGTCTTCAGTTTCAATTGCTGTCATGTCATATTGCTGTTTCTTGCCTCAAGTGATTTTTTTGCAAGTTTGACATGTTCCTCTTGCCACATTTTTTCAGTTTTACAGTACAGATGCATGAGGAAAAAAGGCTGTGCAAATCATTTCCTCCCTAAAAGCAGAGCTGAAATATCATCATTTTGGTAGGTGTAAGGGAGAGAAGAAAGAAGAAGGAAAAAAGTAAAATAAAAAGTAACCTTGTTTCAGTGGGACGAGAAGATTTGAGTGGGAGGTGAGATCAGAAGGGAGACAATGATTTTGGGAGGTCTTTGAAGAATTTATGAAAGTGTCATCAAAAAGAGTCATTTTCCAGTATTATAAAAGTTTATCTTGATGCTTCATTTATACCTAAAGGGCATATGCTTCACCTCTCCCTGTAACAGGAGCTTTATGCTGAGTCTTTCCAGACTTTGCAGGCAGCTTTCATGCCTCTCCAGCACTTCCCCAGTGCTCTGCATACCAATAATTGTCTCCCAGCACTTCACAAAAAGCACAATGGAAGTGGACTAGGATCAGAGGAAGAAATGGGCAGTATATGCCAGTACACCATCAACTTGAGTCTTTTCCTGAGGTAAGACAGAGATGAGCAAAGGGAGGTAAAATATTAGAAGTACTTTCAGATCCAAGAGCTTGTCCTTATTTTCTCACGTGGAAAAGAAAGGTTTTTATTTCATGCTGTATTTAATTCAGGTATTTCCTGTATTCAGGGATTTCCTGTATCCAGACAGAGGGTGGGTGCCATGCCATGGCAATGTAGCTGTAGCAGGGATGTGACTCCCTGGCTGGGACACAGCTGCTGCTGCTGGCAGCAGGGCAGTGGAGCACACAGGTGAAGGGGCAGATAGTTAGAATTATACCCATGAAGGGACCTGGAAAGAACAATGTCATTTGAGGTGTCCAGGCAGGCAGCACTCAGGGCCAGAAGCTCCTGCTCAGCTGCTCTTTAGCTCCCTACAGGAGATGCTGTCCCTCTTCAGTTCCTACATCATGTCCTGCCAGGGCACTCAGGGTAGGTGACCTTGCTTTGTGTGCTTTGCAGCACCTGGCAGGGCACAAAAAATGAGTTTTGAGTGGAAGGGAAGGTGGAGGTGATTGCCATGCCCACTGATATCATGTTCAGGGTATTCACAAATGGATGTGGGAGACTTTTAGAAGTCTTCTCTCAGCTCAATTTATACAGGATTGTTTTTCCACATGTAGTTGCCATGAGTATATTGGGTTAGGTTGTTCTCAATTCTTCTGCTAAAGGCCCTCCATTTCACATTTCAATAATTAGTCATTGAGAAACACTTCTAGAGTAGTCTGCTGGCTGAGACTCTGCCTGGATTCCAGTCCCTGCCCCACATCCCAGTGAATGAATCCTGCCTCCATGGCCCCACCGCTGGGTTAAAGGGGATCAGGTGACAGTGGAGTCCCTTCTCCATCCCATGGGACACAGGGCTCCTCATAGCTCCTATTCCAAAAGGGATTTACAGCTGAAAATCCAAACTGGAGGAAAGCTTGCTGTTAAGGAGCTTTAGAGCCCCACAGTTTGCTCTGTGAGCTGTGATTTACCCTTCACTGCCTGGGCAGCCTCTGTGCTGGGCCAATTTAATGATTTCACTCTTCAGCAACAGGCCTGTGAGTCAGGAGTTCAGGATGTAGGAAAACTGTTAAATAAAACATAAGTGAATGCAAAAACAATCATTTAATGGACATTAGGAAAGGACAGTAAACCAAACAGTTCAGTCCGATGGATGATGTATAACATCTAAACAAATATGACAACTAATTAAGGATTAGGTTCTGTGTTTTGGATGACAGGCCTTATAAAAATGAACAGCTAGGTTATGTTGGGGGAAAAAAAAAGCTGCATTTTGCAAATGTCAGGCAGACAGCTCAGTAAGCAGAAAAGCTCAGTTATCCAATTAAAATAAATGTGCAGTGTTCTCAATATAAAGAGCTAAAGCATCCTTATGTCGAGGAGTTAAGATGCTGAAATATAAGTGGAACAAAAAGTGCTCTCTATAAAGAATAATGTAATCTATCAAGATTAACATTTTGCATGCTGGCAAAGGCAGATAGTAATGTGTTTCAATTCCTGAAATTGGAAACATTAGACTAAGATCAGTACCAATTTAAACCCCAGGTAACCCCAAATATTGAATTGAATTAATTATTTACAACCAAGAAGGGCTAATAACTTGCCCTGATGTCTTCTGTGGGAAATAGATATTTACAGTAGGTGCTCTCCTATTCCCCATAATCCTCCCTGGTACTTCATGTGAAATGTAATTACAAGTTGCATAAATGCAATTTAGGAAAAAAGTATTCCACTAGAAATAATTCTGATTTACTGAGGAGTTTGATTCCTGTCCTGAGAAGGAATAAGGCTGGTTTGAACATTGTCATGTGCATGGGATATCAGGGGGAGGCCATAAAGTTTCAAGGCCACCAGTAGGGGACATAGTTAAACCTAATTTTTTTGTTGCTTTCTAACAAAAGGAGGTTATTGTATAACAGTGGAAAGCAAGCAGTGGGGAGGGACCACAATAACAATTAAACTAGGTTGCACTTGATTTGTAGGGAAAAAAAAGATTCCACTATCTACACTTCCAGCAGAGCATATTTTTTTTTAAGCTAAGATTTAAACCTGTCCTTTGATGCAGGTCTTCAAAATAAGAATTTCTAAGGCAGGAAACATGTAACAAAATTTCTAAAAGGATATTCAGTTCAAGGTATTTTCAACAGAATTAACATGAAGCATATGGATTTTCTGGTGGCTTATAAAGCAGAAAGCAGGACATTATTACTAGGAGGGAGGCTTTACCAGAGTATTAAAATGAAATTCAAGTTTGTGAGGTGCCTGACATATAAAATAAAATCCGTCAAATGTTGAAGTGAGGGGTGATATCTTAGCTCTGCAGTGCTTGAGAAAACATGGAAGAGCATGGCTGTAACACTCCCACCTCTGTTTGATTTCGCCACCCACAGATTTGCCACCTTTTTAATGAAGTGAGCAGTTGCACTTGCAGCTCTGAGTGCCTCTGCTGTCCTCACCTTTATTCTTCTAGAAGCAACGTTTCACATCTTCTTGGCCACAACTTTTGATGTTCACCCAGAAGGGCAGTGATCCAGCTCCCTATTATTTGAGAAGAATGATGGCCCGGGGACACAGACATTGTTAATTCACAAACTCAGCTGATGAGCTCTGCAACTGAGGTTTCATCACAGACTTGAAATTTCTGGGGCCCCGTTGCTCTACAGTTAAAAAGCAAACAAAGTTCTTTCAGGAAAAATAGCAAGCAGGAGAAAAAAATAGTTTTATCTGTGAAGCTGAAAAGCAGCTTTTATTGGCAGTTCTCTTACACTAAGAATAGACAGAGAAATATGCATGTTGCTACAGCTGGTAAATTCTGCCAGAGAGACAAGAAATTCCTATGGGATGTCTCTACATACTGGTACATGTATTTTTTTTTTCAGTTTTTATTTTTATTTTTAAACATGACTCTGCTTGGCCACACTATCAAAATT